AGCATCTTTTCTTCTTGGACCCCCCCACTCCAACGTTTCTCGCCCAAAATTGACCGACGCCCTCCACCACGCCCCCACTACGCCCCGGCACCCCCACATACTCCAACACGCGCCAATATGGCTGCTCGCGCCATTGAGGCGGCAGCGCCCAAAAGGAAAACAAACAAGTTCGGGCAAAGAGGTTTGGTCCGCCACTCTTCTACAAATAGAACCGCACGACACCCAATGACCTCGTGGGTCTTCCTCCTCCTCTCCTACCCCTCCTTAATCCCCTTCCCCCCTTCCTCCCCTTCCCCCTCCCCCCCCTCCTCGTCCTCCTCTGTTTTCTCCTCCTCCTCTCCCTCCTCCCCCTCCTCCTCCCGGACCTCCTCCTCTTCCCCTCGCCGCATCATTTCTCACTCAAAACCGACCGATACACCCCACCATGGCCCGCATCATGCCCCCCGCCACGCCTCCCACCACGCCCCGGCACGCCCGCCCCATGGAGCCTCTGTTTCTGAAACCCCAAACCAAAAATTTCTCGCCCAACACCAACCGATACCCCCCACCATGCGCCCCACCACGCCCCCCATCACGCCCCGGCACCCCCACCTCATGGAGACTCTGTTCTTGCGACCCCCCACCCCACCATTTCTCGCCCAAAACCGACCGACACCCCCTACCATGCCCCCCGCTATGCCCTCCACCACGCACCCCATCGCGCCCCCGCACCCCGCCCATGGAGCTCTGCTCTTGCGACCCCCCACCCCACCATCTCCCCCCCAAACCGACCGATACTCCCCACCGCGCCCCCCGCCACGCCGCCCACCACGCCCCAGCGCCCCCGCCCCGTGGAGCCTTCGTTCTGGGGACCTCCCACCCCGCCAATTCTCGCCCAACATCGACCGACCCCCCCCCACCATGCCCCCCACCCCGCCCCAGCACCCCCGCCTCATGGAGCCTCTTCTCTCGGCGCCCCCCACCCAGCCCTCCCTCGCTCGAAGCCAACCGATACCACCCCCATGGAGCCTCTGTTCTTGGGGCCCCCCATGGAGCTCCGTTCTCGGGACCACGCAGTGGACCCTCAAGGAGCGACATTATGGCAAGCCCCAACGCGCCATCGCTATTTCGACTTCCCTTTCATTGTCACCGCTCCGAAACTGCGATCGGCAACCTCCTTCCTCTTACGCTCCTCGTGCTCGAAGCACGCGTTGCACCGTTGCATCCCATTGGATTTGTTCGTCGCCCGCTTGGCCAACCAGCGGCCGAAATCCACTTTCGGGAACGCAGCTTTGCAGGCTACGCATTTCCAACATCCGCGCTGCACCCTCGCCCCCCCGACACAACGCATGCACTTACGGCCCCGATCAGCCGCGTTGGCCCACGTGCGAGTCGAAAAGAACTCGCGCCGCTGACCCCCCCCCCGCAACCCGCGCAAACTTTGGCATGCACCCTCGCCCCCGTCGATGCGACGCGCGCACTTGCGGCCCTGATCAGCCACGTGGGCCCACATGCGGTCCGACAAGAACTCCCGTCGCTGACACTCTCCACACTCCGCGCAAATCTTCCAATACTTCCTAGATTGCGCGACTTGCTCTGCGGCCTCGGCCTCGACGCACGTGGCACGCGCCACCGGCGCTCTGTCCGCGCGGTCAACCTTGCGCATGGAAAATTATGCCTTGGTCTTCGACGTACCGCACTTTGAGCATACCACCCGGTTTTTCTGCCTCCGCGTGCGCCTTGCCCCCCTTTCTCTGCAACTTCTTGCGCGACTTGCGCGTCGGTTCGTCATTGCACTGTTCCGCTTAAGAAAACTCGGCCCGCAACTGCTCCTGGCCGCAGCGCGAACACTTCAGGCGCCTCTTCAGCTCCTCGCACTCGAAGCACACTCCTCCTTTACATCGGGCGCCCCCTGCCTTATCCCATTGAAATCCGCGAACGCATTATCGCACTTCCGCTCTGCGCATACGTAACACTGTCGCCTCTCGGGACAGCCCACGCAACGCCGCGACGTCAGCTTCGAGCTGCGGCGCTGGGATGCGCGGAAAGCACCCTGGCCCTTCCACAGAAAGCATTCCATGCACTGCCACGGCGTGCCAATGCTTTTTTGGCCTTCCAAGCACAGGTTGCAGACGCGGAGACCGTCGCCCCGGTTCCACTGCCCGAGAGCATACTGGTTCTTGTACTTCACCGACGAGCACAGCGCGCACTTCCCTGCAGGCATGAACTCCTTCTCGATCGCATCCCAATCCATGATCTCCCCGCAGCGACTGCAAGAGCAATCCGGGCCCCTTCCGCTCTTTCTGAGCGCACGGCGCGCGGTCGAAAGGGCGGAATATCAACATGTCCTCGCGGCGACGCACGCGCGTTAGAGCTGCATAACTCGACAGCGGCGACGCGCCCCCGCCAATCCTCAGATCGACGACGACACCTTGCTTAAAAGTCTGGCCCTGTTCTGAGTGGGCCGTGACTCCAAACGCCTGGGCCAGGGGAAACTGCCGCCGCTTCACTTTCAGACGCGGACACGGCCGGCCCTTGCCCACGAACCAATCTTTTCTCTGCGGGCCCACTGGGTGCAGGCCCAGCGTTCGGAGCCCCGGAGTCATCCACCTGCACGGGGTTATGTCCCCTGCCTCGTCGAGCCCCTCGTCGAAACGGACAAATATCACTTTCGGCGTCTTCTGCAAAATTGCTTCCCCTGCCCGGGAAACGCGACCCGTTCCTTCGTCGCCATCGCGCGCCCATGAGCGCACGGTCCCCGCGCGCCCGCGGAGCAGGTACTCGTCCTCGCTGCGACCTATGCGATCGGTGAGGGCCACGGGCATTCCCTCCGCAATTGGCAAAAAACCACACAGGTCCCCGCTCTCCTTATCGTGGCGCTGCAGCCAGGCCATCTTTGGCGCGGCAGATCCGGCCGCTCGCGCAGCGCGTCCGGCGCGGGGGCGTCGCGCGCAGGGATGTGCACCACCGGTTTCTCGTGCGGTCGGGCGTACTGCGACGCTCGGAGTTTGTTTAACTCATACTTCACGTCGTTGTTCGGGAACACCCCGGGGGCACACCGAAACTTCGCCGTGCGCATGCGCGGGTCATCTGCGCCCGCGATGACGAGACGACGCCGTTCGCGCTCATGCCTGCGCTCCCCACGCTCCTGCCTGCGAATATCCTTGGGGGTCACTGATCGCTGACGGCGTGCTCCGACGGCTTCCTTCTGCGAGACCCCTGCGCCGTCACCCAAGGCCCGACAGCTCGCGCTCCCGCGCCCAACCTGACCATGGAGCCAACTCCCCGGGACTCCAGTATCACGCCCGTGCAAAAAGGCATGCGTGTCTTCCGCGAGGGCTCCTCTGCGGAACTCCTCTTGCGGGGATTTCAGCCAGGCATCGTCGCAGCGCTCGCAATCCACGAGCTCCGTCACTCCCTGCGCGCCTTCCTGACCACCCCCCCATAGGAGAGCTTGTAGCACTGGCGGGAGCGAGGTATACTTCCGAGCCTCCGCGACGCGCACAGTTGGCACGTTTGCGAGGAACCCTCCGTCCGGAGGCGCCAGCTGCCAAAAATCTCCGCTCAGCACGACGTTCAGGACGCTCAGCTCGACGTTCAGGCCGCACGACGCTCAGACGACGGCAGCAGAGTGCCGCGGGCAGCACACACCCCAAGCAACCTGAACCGATCGCTACGGAAGGGCCCAAAGCTAATCGCTGCACCTCGGGCGTTTATAGCCCTTCGCAACGTTCAGCCTTGAGCCAAAATGGTTACGGTTTTTCCCTCCTCCTCCTCCTCCTCCTCCTCCTCCTCCTCCCTCCCCCCCCCCCCCCCCCCCCCCCCCCCCTCCCCTCCTCCCCCTCCTCCCCCTCCCTCCTCCTTCCACCTCCTCCCTCCTCCTCCCTCCTCCCTCCCCCTCCCTCCTCCTTCCTCCTCCCTCCTCCCTCCTCCCTCCTCCCTCCTTCCCCTCCTCCCCCTTCCCCCTCCTCCTTCCTCCTCCCTCCTCCCTCCTCCCTCCTCCCTCCTCCCTCCTCCCCCTCCCCTCCTCCTCCTCCTCGGCTTCCCGCCTGCAACCTCTTGGTTGCAGTGCTCTTTGCCGCGGGCACACTGTTGCCGTGCTTGTGAGGGCGCGGGCGCTGGGCAACGCTCCGCGCATTGTCCCTTGGGCGCCGATCCCGAATCCCCTTGCGCCATTTTGGCGCGGGGTGTAGGGCGGCCCTTGGTTTGCTTTCTTTTCCTTGATTTCCTCCCTAAGGCGCAGCGTTTCTGGCGCTATTGGGAGTTAGTCAAGGGAAGGAGGCCCGAGGTCAGGTCCCAGCTTGCGTCCGCGATTCCCTCTTTTTTGCGCGTGTGCCCTTGGTTTTGGCCGTTGGCCACTTTAGCCGTTGGCCAGGGCACGTTGGCCCGCGCTGTGCTGAGCGCCACGGTTGCGTTCTGCCTTTTGGTCATCCTCCTAGCCCTCCTCTTCTTCAGCAATCCACCGCGAGCTCCTCGAATCAAGCACGGCGAACGAAAATGAAACGGAACGAGTGGACGAGCCACCCCGACTCGTCAGGCCAGGCTTTATAGCCTGGAGTGAGGATGTTTCGAACGGCGGCGCTGGAGCTGTGAGGATGTCTCGAGCGGCGGCGCCGGAGTTGCGTGTAAATGGTGCGTTTTACCTGCAGCGAGGGCTTTACCAAGCCGCGATGCCAAAGGCTGAAGGTGCACCTGAACGCACAGACAATTTGGGAAAAAACGCCATCGGCATGCGAGCGCATACACATGTGCACAATATACGCATGTCAACTAAGCTCGCACATTCACACTGATCTTAAAATCTTGTTCCCGAAATTGGCTGGAACACGATAGCACGGATTATCTGATTATTGTCGCCGTCAGGCGTAAAAATAAATACCACAGATTACAAAAGCTATGCAAATGTAAACGTGTTTGCTCGGCGTTCAGGCACAAAAGAAAAACAGTTCACTGGCCCTCGTCCGGGCCTGGCAAATTCCTCGGGGTGCGCAGCGAACCCGAGGCCAAGCGACAGAACTGACCTGTCAAATCCATCGTCTTAGTGCGAACGTCGGCCAACATATAAGCTGTGGGGGCCCACCGCATCGGCACATCTGCCACGTTCCTACTCTCGCGGGGGTCCACGGCGGCCTCCTGCTGCATGGCCTCACGCAGCCAAGCCAGATCCACGGTCAGGCGCTTCTCCTGCGGGAGCTTACCGGCGCCCCGCTGGAGGGTGTCACACAGCGACTTGCAATCCGCCGCACACGTGATCGGGAGCATACGAATGTTGGCTAGCATCTCATGGTTGGTCACATCTAGGTCGGCACACATCATCTCGAGTATCACAGCGCGCACAAACTCTGCTGAGTCAAACGCCTCGGTACAACTCTGAGTCTCGGCAGCGAAGGTACTCCTAGCCACGCGCGGCAGCGTGTGGCTTCTCCAATTCACTTGGGTCGCCTTTCCCGGGCGTCCTTCAGCAACTGCACGCTCGCACAGGTAGACCAGGTACCCCGCCTGCGAGTGGACCTTCTCCCCTTGAGCGATCCGGCGTAGGGCCTCATCCTCGGTGAGTGCGTTTCCCCATGCAGCGTCGTGGTAGACTATCAGGCACCACGGGGACTCCACGTCCAGCTTGGGGATGTGAAACTTCTCGCTGGCCGAGCTCTGCAGCACTCCGATGACCTTATTGACGTCCAGCAGGTCTTGGATGCAGGGGGGCATTCTGCTTGCGCTGGGCCATAGATACCGTGCACGACAGGTCGGGTCTCGTCTCTCGAGCTGGCCATCCCAAACTGCCGACTGCACTGCGATTGTCCGCGATCTCGCGGGCATTACACTCCAGGCTCGGATCACGCTTCCGGGCCTTGTCGATCTCGATCGGCTCGAGCCTGCCCTCGATGAAGGTCGACTGGTCCAGCAGGAAACCTCCTTCTGGGTCCGCCTGCAGCAGCTTCCCGCAGAACACCACAGGCACGTGACGCCACTCGCCGAAGTTGAAGAGACCTCGAACTCCCTGACGTCGGGCCTGCGACTTCGTGGCTACGAGGAGATCGTCAGCATGTACGCAGACCAAGATACACAGCCTGCCGTCCTCGCTGAAGCCGCGGAACACCGTCGGGTCGAGCCGGGACTGCATCATGAGGATGGGCTTGACATCCTCGTCCTTCAAGTCCGCCTCGACCAGGCCCCGACGCAGACGTCGCCACCACAGCCGCGGCGCATCCGCAAGCCCGAAGATGCCCTTCTTGACCTTCAGGAGGCACCGAGGGTCCATGTTCGGCAGGCCCTCCTTGGGCTGAGACATGTAGAGCTCCTCGGCGCGCCCGTGCTCCTCGCCCTGCATGAAGGCACACTCGATGTCGCCGGCCACGATATCGAAATCGTACGCCGCCGCCACTGCCAGGAAGGTGAGCACCGAATGCCTCGACACGGTCGGTGCGTCGGCCCTGAGCCCCATCGCGAGGTCCGGGTCGTTGTGGCCACCACAGCACAGCCGAGCCTTCGGCTTGGGCGGCGCGTCCTTGACTTCAGCGTTCTTTTTCCAGTAGGGGAACCTCGACGTCAAGATGCGGCTCTGGTGGACTCGCTCACGAACCTTCTGACTTTCTTCGACTGAGAGCGGCTCGACGGCGTCGTAGTTCTCCCACTGCTTCCACTGCAACTCGGCCGCCTCGCGATAGAGGGGGCGGTCGCTGGCTGGAATCATGTCCCATGGCATCTCCTTTTCCAGCGCTCGACGTTGCAGCCTAGTCGTGTTCCAGCTCCGCTTCGCGATCAGGCCGAAACTGAAATTTGCGAAGTGAACGGGTTGTTCTGGATGATCGCCTGGGTGCTGAAGCGGTCCGACGGGGAACGGACGGAACGCCTGGATCTGCCGGGCTTGTAAAGCCGCCCGACGCTTCTTGAACTCCTCCTTCGCGTATGGAACTCCTTGTTCGGGTAGAGCTGGCTGAGAGGGCGTCGCTGTCGACGCGGGAGGCCCCGCGCGGGTCGACGACGCGGGCCCCGATGGCGCAGCTGCCTCCTGCCGCTTGCGGGGCGGCTCGTCCCCCAGGCGCTCGGCAGCGTCAGCCGGGCGCTTGTCCCTCTCGATCTCCTCGATCTCCAGCTCCAACTCTCTCGCTCGCTCCTCGAGGGTGTCCCCGAGGTCCTGGCCTTCTCTCCGCTGTAGAGGTTGGGCCTTCTCTTCCGCTTCACGCGGTCCCAGCCCTCGGTCGTCTTCGTACTCTGGCTGGTCCTCCTTCTCGACCTGGCGGATGAGTTCGTTCAGCTCCTCGACGTTGGGATCGTCGCCCTGACCGGGCCACCAGATCTCCCCATCCTCAGCGGGTCGGAGCTGCTCGTGAGAAACTTGAACTGTCCCAGCACCATGCGAGAGCCAAAAGTTGGACGCTCCCGCCGGGCTGATGACGACGGCTGGGCCTCGCCACTCGTGGAGCTTCGTCCCCTTGCGCAGCCGCCAGTAGAACGCCAGGTCCCCGTTCTGGTAGTTGATGCGGGCGACCCTCGGCTTCCGCAAGAGTGTTCGGCGGAGCGCTTGACTATTCTGCAGCTCCACGAAGGCCGTCCGCGCAGCCGTGCGGATAGCCATCCTCCTGGCGAGCTCCGTGGACACGTGATGCATGCTGTGCTCTGCAATCTGGCCAGGCCGATCGATCAGGTCGGCGGACATGGTAGGCGAGCATCCGCACACCCATTGCGACGGTGAAAAGCCGCAGATCCGACGCATGTCGTTTTTGGCCTGGCAGGTCTTCCAGACGGCGGTGTCAAGGTCACCGCGGCTCGTGACTGACTTGTGCTCGACGACGCGGTTGACCATGAGCTTGAGCCAGCCGCCATGCCGCTCAGCGCGGCCGTTCTGCCACTGCGCCTGGCCCGCCACGGCCTTGACGCGGATCCCCATCATGTCCATGGCCTCCTGAAGCTCGGTGTAGAACATGCCGTCTGGGTCGAGCCTGACCACGCTAGGCGGTCCAGCCGGCCACAGCTCTCGGAAGACCTTAGCCACGGTGGCTGGCTTCCTGTTCTTCAGGTAGCGCGCGACGTGGTGCGTCGTTGAGGCCTCGACGAGCGACAGGAACAGGTAGGGCTTCCCGTGCGCGCTCCGAAGGTAGAGGCCGTCGACGCCCAGCTCGTCATTGAAACCGCCGACGGGCGACAGGCGAGAGACTCGATGAGATCCCGCAGCAGGCTTGGTCCTGTTGCACGTAGCACAGCGCAGGTGCTTGGCGCCGCGGACGAGGGCATCGTCCGCGCCGTTGAGCCTCAGGTTCCTGGCCAGGTCGTCGTTCGAGGGATGCCCGAGGTCCTGGTGAAGGCGTCGAAGGTGAGATCGAACCTCCAGCGGCAGAAGGCCAGCCTTCTCCCCGAACGAGATCGCTCTGGAGCCCATGGGCTCCTCCTCGGGTGCCTCGTCGTCCTCGTCGTCGACGTCCGCCGCCATGGCCTGGTAGCTCTTGTTGCGCACCTCCTCGAACGCATCGACGATGCGCCGACTGAAGTCCTTGGCGTAGACCTGGCTCCAGGAGATGCCCTTACTGCCATAGCCCTTCAGCTCCGCGTGGTCGTGGTCCTCTGTGCACCGCAAGCCGCAGTGCTTCTCAAAAGGTGCGTGAGTCGCCAATATCCACGTAGGCTTCTTGACTGCCTTCCCGGTCTGAGGGCAGGTGAGGCCATGCGCGCACATATCAGTCTGGAACTCGACCACGCCTGGCAGTTGTCTGAGCCTCTTCCAAGGGCCCTCGTTCCAAGACTGCCCCAGCCACGGGTGCTCCAGCACAGCCATGCGTCCGCCCTCGTACTGCAGCCCGAAGAGCTTCTCGACTAACTTCAGCGTCGGCAGCTCCTTCAGCCGCGCCCGCCGCAGGCGCTGCTCGTCCCCCTTGAACACGAGGTTCTGCATGTGGCTCCAAATCCTGCAGGTCAGCTCGGGCACCAGGCAGTCTGGCTTCTCGCGATCCACGAAGTCGATCAGCTGCTGCTGGACAATCGGCTTCTTGAGATCGTCGCCGTACTCGATGTCCCAGGGCTGGCCGACGCGAAAACCTCGACGGGCGGCCTCGCGCGATGCCGCGGCCTTGCCACCCCAGATCTCCACGAAATTGATATTGGCGCCGTCCTCGTCGACCGCGACGCGCACCTCCTTGGCGGCGGGCCCCCCCGCGGCCTTGGCGCAGCTGGCAAGGTTGAGGCCAGCCGACTCGCCGATGGTCGCCGCGAGGCACATAGCTGGCAGCGTCGACGAAGTCAGAGCGCCACGAAGCCCGCGAATCACGCGCTTCTTCATCCCGCGGCGCAGGGGCCGCTTCACCTGACCAGCTGGAAACCGAGATCGAGGTGGTTCATCAGCTCCTTGTCCTGGTCGGTCTCGGCCGCGCTCGACTCGGTCTCCGCCTCGCTCAGCTCGGACTCGTCGCTCTCCTCGTCGACTCTCGCGAGGTCCTGGCCCGGGTCCCAGTCCACCTCCGCCGCCGGGACTGGCGTCGTCACTGCTGTCCGAGTCGGTGCCGTCCGAATCCGTGCCAAGCGATCTTCTTTGGTGTCCAGACTCATGTGAGATGACGTACTCGGGGGACCTCGCTTCTTGACCTTGGCCTGGATCTCCCTCGCCATGGGAGGCGTGCTTGGAGTTGCCTTCGGGGGTGGTCCTGCGCTGCTCGACTGCACGGACCTTCTCGAAGGAGTAGCCGAAGCCAGCAAGGACTTCGCGGAGACGGCGCTTGATGGCATCGGACCTTCTGCTGCTGCCCACGCCTTGATCCTGAGCTTCAGGGCGTCCGCCGCCCCGTCGAACGCGATGCCTGCAGCCTGGCAGAAAGCGATGGCCTCGGGCTTCTTGAGCTTGCTGAATCCCGACGCCAGCTTTGCCCTGGGGCCCCCCTTCTGGTGTTTTGCCTCCTCGGGCGGTCGAGTGGCTCGCAGGCTTTCCCGTAGGGCTGCACACGTCTCGCTCCCCGAGGTATCCACTCCTATGGTCAGCAGCTCCGCGCGCAACTCCGCCTTCGTCATCTGAGTGATCCCCTTCCGAATCGGTCTCACATGAGTCAACCTCGAGATGATACACTTCCGGTAGCCCATGCTGATCATTACGCCGCGCATGGGTGCCATGAGAGCCTGGGCCGCATTCATCAAGATCTGGGCGAAGCGCCACCATGCCCGCCGAGGATCTGGTCGCTGCTGAAGATGGCCCGGCATGTGCCGTAGAGGGCCCAACTGATATGGAACATGAAATTGGACTCATCCTGAGAGGTTGATTTGAGCCTGGGGCTACGGAAGTCGATGTACACGTTTGACCATCTCGAACGTTTGCTTGCTAATTGTTTTGATAATGCTCTGCATTTTGTCTGGCTCGACCTCCGTTTTGATAAGTTCGCTCTGCATTTTGAAAAGCTCGATCTGCATTTTGATAAGCTCGATCTCCATTTTGGCGATGCTGATCTGCTTTATTATGCTGTTGCTGCTCCAGGGCTTCGTATTGCTGCTCAATCTCGTGCTGCTGCTGCTGCTCGTTTTTGTAGACCATGAGCGTTTGCTTGATGTCCTGGACCTGGCCCGGCACCTCTGGATGCTGAACCTGCCGATGAGACGGCTGACGATCATGATAATGACCTTGAATATGATATTGAATCTCTGGCGCCGTCTCGTCCAAGACTGCTCCTGGCGGCGCCACCCAGCCTTCTGCTGGGAACTGAAACAAGTTAAGCAGCGGACGCAGGGAGTCAGCTTCTGTGACCGGCACGGGTGGCACGCCCAGCTCCTCGGGAAAACTGAAGGTGCTGGTCCTCGGGTCGTCGCGGATCCCGAGCTGCTTCGCTGCTGGCCTCGAAAAGAGCAGCGGCAGGTCGCCCGGCACAATGCTGATTCGCAGAATGCCTGAAATACGATGTGAAACACATATCGGGATCAGCGCTGCAAAGGTGCTCCAGACCGGGTCGCCAGCTCCGAACCGAAACCGCTCCTTCTCGTCGACCCGCTGGCACCTCGGGCCACGCGTGCAGCGCCTCAAGAGCGCCGCCCACAGCTTCAGCATGTTGTAGCCCATCACGCACCTGGTGCAGCCGCTGTCATAGATCGCGAACCCGACGCGCCTCCGCATCTCCTCGAAGGAGGCGAAGATGAACACCGGGAACGAGAGGGCCAGGGAAGAGTAGAAGCCCGAGCTAGTGTTCGGCTTCTTCTCGCCAATAGGCTCGGGCGCGCCCCTGGCCGTCGTCGTCGTCCTCGAACTCATCGCTGTCATGACCCTGCGCGGCTCCGCCTCCGCGCAGCCGCTGTCATGGATGGCCAACATCGGCCTGCGAGCTCCCGACGAGGGCGGTCCTCCTCCACGGGTCTTGGGGCACTCAGGGTCGCCCTTCCAGTGCCCTCGCTGGTCGCAGGCCTTGCAGACTGAATTCTTCTTCAGGTCGCCAATCTCCTTCTGCCTCTTGGGGTCTCGTTGAACCTGACGCGGTGCTGATGGCGGAGGGTAGCCCCGCTGGTTCTTGAAATCCTTCATTTTGAACTTTGCACTCGTGAACTTCATTCGAAACTTATCCTCCTGCTGGAAACGCTTGTTGCTCTCACGAAAACCTGCCACGTACGCCTCCGCCAGCGCCGCCATGGTCTCATCCTGGTCGTCACCGGGCCCCTGGTCGCCAGCGTCGCCCTCGAACTCATCCAGGCCCGGGAGGTCGGCAGGGTCTCCACCGTTCGCCAAGAAAGACTCCACGGCTTGGTACTCGTCCTCGCCCAGGTCGTGTAGGTAGTCCTGGCCTGGGTCGTGCACCTCCTCGTCGTCGGGCTCGGCGTGCATGGCACGATGTTGCCCACCTCGTGGGGCGAACCTCCGGAACTTCTTGGGCTTGAATGTCTGATCTTGTCCGCGGCCGCCTGGCCGGTCGAACTCGGCAACATTGGGGCAATTTCTCTCGGCCGCCGCGGACATCGCCTTAAAATCGTAGTCATTGTTCGCACTGGCCAGCACCATCGCCCGTCGATCGCTCGGCAGCCGCAGCTTCTTCAGAAAGAACCATCCGAGCACGATCGCGGGCAACGTCGCGGCGAGCTTGGCCAGGCGATGCACGAGAATGTTGAACCTCCTCTTGAACGTACGTATCTGCTCCTGGTGCCGCCTTTTGAGCAGGACAAAAAGACACATGCAGCACATCTCCTTGTCGCAGTATCTGCTGCTCCTCAAAGCGGTCTTTGAGCTCGAGCATCAGAAACTCGAGCCCTCCTGGCTCGGCGAGCCTCTGCATGTCGATGTCCTCGACGGCGGCCCAAGCATCATCCTGCAGCCTAGCGTGGAGCGCTGGGCCGCGACGCTCGGACCTGAGGGAGGTCGCCAGCTGCCAGGCTTCGACGCGCCGCGAGAAGTCCCGCCAGCCACTCCCGTCGAAGATTGGGATGGGGAGGTTGTCTCGCGTGCCGCCGCCGTCTCTGTCGGCGCCTCCGACGGGTGTCTCGGGCGCCGCTTCGTAGTCCTCCGCCTCCTCCTCGTCGAGCTGCTCGAAGTCGTCGTCGTCGTGCCTCTGTGGAGGCGGAGCCCGATCCGCACGGCCACGGTCGGGCGACCTCCATACGCGAGCCGCCATCCATGGCGCGCGCTGCAGCTCGGCGCAGAGTGTGAGCGCAGCGCAGACCGAAACACACAGGCTCCGGCTACCAATGTAAATGATGTGTTTTTCCTGCAGCGAGGGCTTAACAAAGCCGTGATGCCAAAGGCTGAAAGGTGCACCTGAACGCACAGACAATTTGGGAAGAAACGCCACCGGCATGCGAGCGCATACACATGTGCACAATATACGCATGTCAACTAAGCTCGCACATTCACATTGTGGACGCCCCTGGCGCTCCTGACGCTCTTGACGCTCCTGACGCTTCTGAAGCCCCTGACGCCCCTGACGCTCCTGGCGCTCCTGACGCCCCTGACGCTCCTGACGCTCTGACGCCCCTGACGTTCCTGGCGCCCGTGACGCTCCTGACGCCCCTGACGCTCCCTGACGCTCCTGACGCCCCTGACGCTCTTGACGCTCCTGACGCTCTTGACGCTCTGACGCCCCTGACGCTCTTAACGCCCCTGACGCTCCCGGCGCTCGAGCGGCGGCGCTGGAGGTGTGAGGACGTTTTGAGCGGCGGCGCCTGAATTGTGAGGATGTTTCGAGCGGCGGCGCCAGAGTTGTGAGAATGTCTCGAGCGGCGGCGCTGGAGTTGTGAGGATGTTTTGAGCGGCGGCGCCCGAATTGTAAGGATGTCTCGAGCGGCGGCGCCCGAATTGTGAGGATGTCTCGAACGGCGGCGCCGGAGTTGCGGGGATATCTCGAGCGGCGGAGCCGGATGGTGGACGCCCCTGACGCTCCTGACGCTCTTGACGCTCTGACGCTTCTGACGTTCCTGACGCTCCTGACGCTCCCGGCGCCCCTGACGTTCCTGACGCTCTGGTGCTCCTGGCGCCCCTGACGCCCCCCGGCGCCCCCGACGCTCCCTGGCGCCCCCTGACGCCCCCTGGCGCTCCTGACGCCCCTGACGCTCTTGACGCCCCTGACGCTCTTGACGCTCTGACGATCCTGACGCCCCTGACGCCCTCGACGCTCCTGACGCTCTGACGCCTGGAGCGTCAGGAGCGTCAGGAGCGCCAGGGCGTCAAGAGCGCCAGGAGCGTCAAAAGCGTCAGAGCGCCAGCACTTTTTTTCAGGGGCGCGCTGCGCCAGCTCTCCGAAACTGGAACCCAAGAGTCGGATCGGCCAGGAATCGAAGCTCCTAAGTTGGCCAAGCCTCTCAGGGGCAGCTGGCGAATGGCCATGGAAGGCCTGGCCAAGCATGGTGCTGGCATATTACTGACCCCCCCCGCGAACTTCACGCGACGCCCCATGACTTTCGCACCAGCAGGCCTTGAAGGCGATGTGATATCACTTCTTGTTTGCGCAAAGACAAGGCAAGGTGCAGTAGCTGCAGTGGTCTGGCTGACGCGGGCCTACCCTCCGACGAAGTGCCACACAGCATCCAAGGCAAGGAAACTAAACATAGTCCAAGCAACGACAAGCTTCCAGACAAACAATTTTACTTCGTGGCGAATGTGACTAGCTATCGCGCCACGCCATGCGCCAAGGACTCCGAAGAAGCCTCTGATTTGGACCCGACGCATTGGAGTCGTGCAAATATGTGTTCCATCCAGGCTCGTCTAAAGTCTCTTCGCACGTGCCTGCTGCGTGCAAGATTCCTCAATCTTGCAAGCGTCAATAAGGACAAGGAAGTCCGCCCACCCCTCGGGCAAACCGCCTCATGCAATGCCCAGCTACCCTCGCCCATTTGACAGGTGGCCCCGATTGGCAGATTTGCCACTGGGAACAAGGAGGGTTCCAGTCTCCCGAGTGTCCACTGAAAAGTGGCACAAATTGACAGGACATCTCCGAGCCCAGAAATGGGAGATCCCGGGCGAAATTTATTGAACAACCTCAGGTCTGGACATCCCCGAAAAAACATAGTCCCAACGATGCCTCCGGCGAAAAAGACTGGGACCACGTGAGGTGAGGGCATAAGACGTACAGAAACCCGGAGTGGCAATGAGATCTCAAGCGAAACGAACAGACCACAACAACTGCGAGCCCAGAGCAGCGAGGAAACGGGATCTGATACCGCGCGGCAAAAGCATCGACTAATCCAGAACAGCGAGGATGCACCGGGCGAAGATTGCCCTGCGAGGATGTTTCAAGCCAAAAACGCTGGACCGCCTCATGACAGCGGCGAAGAAGCCGAAGCGAAATGGGCTGGACTATCTCTCGCGCGGCAACTCGAAGCCCATAACTGTCGGGATGTCTCGAGACCGACCGGACCGCCTCACAGGCCGCATCTCAGGGCCCAAATTACCGATGATGACTTCGCCGAAACCGACCCAGGCAACTTCTCGCATGGGGTCTCCTAACTCAAAAACACACCCGTCTTCTGGGCAGGAGATGATGAATCGCGGTTCCTTGTCCAATCCCATGTTCCCCTTCGGGGATGGGGTCGTTGCTGCTCCTGGATGATATTTGCCACCTCGCCCAATCTACCGACCGCTAACCCGAGTCGCTGCCACCCCTCTCGACTCAAACCAACAACAAATTGAAATACCTCCAGGCGGCCCCCCCATTGGAGCTCGGAAATGCGATGCGATCTGTCGGAACGATGATCATCGTATAATCATTGTTTTTTTAGCACCTCGCTCGCCCGTCCAAGAGGCTTCTGCGTGCTCGGCGTAGCCATCATCAAGGCAGGCCACTGCCTCGACGCGCGCAGCGCTGCGGCCGCACGGCACAGTCGAGAGCAAGGCCGAGCACGCCGCCTCCGCGGGCAGCCCGGGCCCTGCTCGCCACAGGCGCACACGCGCCACCCCCCTCAAGACACGAGACTGGGAGATGGCAAACGCACGCCCGACTCACTCAAGCTTGTTTCGTGAAAAGACCGCCTTTGCCTGTCCCGCCGCCTTTGGCACTGTCAGATCGGAAGGCAATCTTGGCAACTCTCTTGGCAGCCTTGCTCCTCGGACCGCGGTCGTAGTCAAGCTCGATGCCCATCCCGCGGAACAACTGCGACTCGCGGGCCTGGGAGAAGAGCGTCTCAACCCCTCGGCTCGACGGTGCAAAGAAAATCCACGTAGTCATGACTACCTCGGCCTGGTCGTCCTCGCCGCTTAGGCTGTACTCTATCTTGAAGCATCTCGACGCCCTGAACTTCGGGGGCAGCGACGATGCCTGCTTGCCTGCGGCGACGAACTGGCCCAGCAGGTTGGTGGCTACTGCTGGCGCGTTGTCCGCTAGCTCCTTCTTGTGGGCCCTCTCTTTGATTTGCTTCAAGATGGGTTGCGAGCCTCCGTCTTCTCGGCCAGGCACCCCAGCCGAAACAGCATGCCCGAGAACAGAGCCACAGGCTTCTTCCCGAACGGATTGCCTTTGAACTCCTCGCCCTTGTCCGTTGCGGCCTGGCGTGCGTCCGCGCCCGCCTTGTCGCGCTGCTCGATGGTCCACTCCATCACCTTTAGAAACTCGTTCTCTGTCGGGCCCTCGAGCACGAAATTCTGGGCCCTGCTCTGGATCGCGCGCTCCTCGTCGAGCTGGAGGGCCAGCGTGGCCATCGCTTCCATCAGCTGGAGCTCCTGCACGCGCTTCTTGCCGGCCACGACCGCGTCCTGGCCCCTGTCCTTGCTGCTCCCGCCCTCGACCACGCCCGCGGCCTCGACCACGCCCTCGCCCCCGCTCTTCTTCGCGCCCTTCTGCCTGCGGCCCGAGAGGTCGTCTCCCGCCCCCCGAGTCGGGCGGCCAGGCGCGCCGAACATCACTGACGACGAGCACAGGGGACTCGGGCACTGGAGAAGGCGGCGCTGGTGGACCGTCTGACAGAAATGTGCAACGGAGAAGACGAATACGCTTGACCTGGGAGTCTCGCCTGGTGAACTTACTCAGGCAGTGTGGACATTCAGTAGCACCTTGAGGAATGGTATCGAACGACGGATGTACTCTAGCTTGATGGATACGCAAACCACAGGGTCCTGCACACAACAGTCCACACTGTGGGCATGGGATCTTCTCAACATCGGAATTCTCGGTCGGGCGGCGCGGAAGGACAGGGGGGTAGAGAATGTGGACCGAGGCACGGTAGCAAGCCACTCCAGCCACGGCTTCGAGAGAAAAGCTGACTCGGCCTCGACACCACGCAAACGAGCGCGCACGCGAGCCTCCTCTCGAGTACCCTCGAACACCGGTTTAAGATCATGATAAAGTCGGAGCTGTCGTGGAGTGAAGCACTCACGAACACCCTCGAACGAGAGAGCCCCAAAGACGGCGGCGCGCACAGCAACGGCGGGGTGATCTTCACGGGCACCGAGAAGGGGGTCGCCATCATCATCGCGAAAAGCTGGGGCGACCATTTTCTGCATCCACCAACGCCGTCGGGCAAGAAGAGTTAGACACAACAATATGTACACCACATTGTTCACGTAAGTCATCAGAAGCAACTCTAGAGATGTGAACAGGTAATCTAGCAATACGAAGTAGACACCGCATCTGAAAACGCTCGAGCTCCTTGAGGCACCCAGGACTAATGCGGCGCACCTCCAGGGCGCACAGCAGGATGGAACGCACAAGAGCAAACCACAGACGAGCCTTCAATTTGAGGGGGGGGGGGGGGGAACTTTAGAGCGTCATAGCCTAGCAGTGAGCCTATGATGGGCCACCCGAGACTTTTTGCTACGAGCCTCAACCTCGACCAGGTCGCTTCCCAAGATATTGATCATAGACCCCAAGTACTTAGCAGACGCAGTGGCCTTAATAGGGACCTCTGGCGCACCAAGTTGAGGCCCACGGAGAACAAGACGATGTTTTCCGTGTCGAATCTGCTCGTTCATGGCCCTAGACCCCGCTCCGAAGGCTCTGATGGCCACCTCGAGCTTGGACCAGTTCACCCCGAACCCAGACTCCTCCAGGATCGCGCCTATGTTCGTCGGGAAAGGGGTGATCGCGTCAGCGTCGGTGAACAGCCCCATAACACTAAGATCATCCATGCAAACAATCCCTCAAGAACAATTGTTCTGGAAAGGCAGCGTCGGGCCCCAAGAGGTTCTCGAGCGTGGAATCAAACGTCGCCATCAAAGAATGACCACCCCTCTCCCGCTGGATCGTTCGAATGGTGAGATCATACAGTAGGATGAAACACAATGGGCCTTCGCAGGAACCCTGTCTCACCCCTAGCTGGCTTCTCAAACGTCGAACAACACGGCCTGTTTTTGCATCTCTGGTCAAGATACACGCACCATCATGGATGTCCTCAAGAAACAGCACAAGGTCTTCACTAAGAAGGAGAGCGCGCATAGCCTCCCAGAGCATGCAGCGATCGATCTTGTCAAAGAGTTTGGGCAAGCCGAAGAGACCTTGAATTATAATGAATAACGGTTGGTCGTGCCGCTTGCTCTTTGCGTTCTTGGCCGCGACTGCTGCAGCTCTCTCGATGATCCCCCCAATAATCGTAGCGGCATCTCTCGCACCGCGATGTGGGAGACCACCGAACTGGATACGACTGATGCGCTGAGCAACCGCACCCTTAGAATCGCCAAGGAACTCTTTCACCAACTTCTTTCCCCAGTGGCTGAGCCTGCTCAATGCGCGGTAGTGTTCACCGGCGTCAGAGCCATCGCCTTTGCCAGGCTTGCGAAGGCACGCAGCCCCCCCGCCCTTGAAGGGCAACGGGGCCTGGCCAGCGGTGGTCAGGCCCGTGCTGGCAAGAGCCAACGAGGGAGAAATCTCATTGCACGCGATCTTGAAGAGCTCATCAACCGCACCCCTGAACAACTCAATCTGGGGAGGCGCCAAAATGGCAAGTCCAGCTTCGAAGTTCGGCATCGTGGAAATCATGCCCGCGGCAATAGATTCTGCGATCACAGAGGGCGCAGGCGCATTGGGTGGGAGATGGGGAAGCGGACGCCGTCGTGGAACGGCGTCGCGGAGCGGTACTTCACACGCGTCAAAGATCTCTTTCATAGCGAGGGCCTTGGCTTCAACCTCGCCCTGAGATCTCCAGCAGCATTGTCCACGAAGCTTCAGCGCAGCCGCAGACGAAGAGGTCTTTGGCGCCAAAGCGCTGGCAATCTTGCAAGCCCCACGGGAGTCGCCACAACCGAGACAACCCCCAGCTTCTCTCGCAAGCGATTCGGCAATATTTTTTGTCAGCACGAATCGCAGCCTTGGCTTTCTTTGTGGCTATCCTATACTGATGCATGACATAGCACCGTTGAGCTGAATAAACCAGTGCGTGCATGAACTCTCCGTCTGCAAGCAACTTCATCCATCTATGCCTCTCGGCGATCAGCTTCAAAGTCTCCTCGCGTGGCGCATTCAGACGACGAGAAGGTTTCACACCAGGCTGCTGTGAGAATCCAGCAGATATTGCCGCGCTCACAATAGCATCCCCCAGAAAGTCACGCTGAGCGGGGGGGTCGCGATGACGAGGGAAAGAGGCAACACGTTCGGCGACATCGGCACGCATAGTAAGGACCTTCTGCGCAACATCCGAATGGGAGCAGTCCTCTACGTCCTCATCCAGCCTCCTCGCAACTTTGACCGCCTCTCCCAACAGTGGCCTATTCCAACGAAGAACAGCCTTGGGTACACGGTTCGCCCTCCACGGCGGAAGCCGGAAAAGACCGTCGACGGGTCGGTGATCACGATAACCACCCAGGCTAACAGGAGAAGAATATTCCACTGCCGCAGACACGCCTGGGCAACGGGAGAGACGGCAAATCAAGAAACCCGTGCGACAATGATGTCCCTTGGGATGCAGCCAGGTCCAGTGAAAGCGGCGCTTGGAATTGAAAGCGTTGAGGGCCTTTAAATTGTAGTCACGAAGAACGGCAGAGAGTTCGAAACTATTCACATTCAGGTTCGGCGTGCTAGAACGTTGCCCCCCGAACCCAATGAACGGAGGTTCACACTTCAAGTCGCCATTGCGATCGATACCCAAAATAAGAGAAGCTCTCGTATGCTGAGTAAAGCGCCTCAGTGCGGTACACATGCTCTGCCAAAACTGGTTCTGGTCATATTGTAGCTCTTTTTGGCTGGGTTGCACTGAGAAAGGAGCGTTGCCAGACAAGAGGTAGAGATCGCGCTCAAAACGTCCGCGCCCACTGCGGATGCGGACTCCTCCCAGCTTGCCTGGCATCCAGGTATGCTTGCAAACCAGAGAAGACATTCCAAACATATCAAGGTCCACACATGCCATCAGTCCATATCGTGATTGTGGTGTGGAACGCGGAAAAGGCACAACACGGTAGTCATGTGAGTTCCATTCGATGTCGATATCCATCGAAGTACCCTGCAGCATCAATATGTGGATACCAGCATCCCTAGAAAGTCGAAGAAGTTCGTCGAAACGCCCAACTACTCGCAGACTCTCGCAATTGTAATTTCGGACATGTATCTGGTGAATCTCGTCGTGTGCATCGCGTCGTGTGCATCGCGCCGTGCCCGTCGATGTCTAACGAGGTCAGGTCCAAGCGGCAGCCCCAGCCGGTCGGCAGCTCTGGACTTGTTGCCAAGAGCCCAGTGTACACTCTGGAGGGTGGCGTAGTCAGCGAGCTGGGCCGCCTGCTCAAGGTTGTACTGTCGGCCCCTGTACCAACACACTCCCATTAAGAACAGACTTCGTATGGCTCGCCTCGTAAACCATTTGGTAACATTCGTGCCCGTGTTCTCCAGCAAAGAATTAGACATGACTCTGCGTGCTGGATGCGCGGTCTGCGGGCTCAGACCGCACCCTCGGCTCCCACCAATCACAGAGAAGGACAACGATTCTCCATCGGTGTCCAGACTTGGGACTGGGACCCTGGGCTCTGGTGCGTCGATGCTCCCACGGAGGCCGACCTGCTCGGCAAGAGGTACTGAACCACAGCAGCAGCGGTCGGCCCCCCCGGGGCGGGTACCCCCAGGTGGAGCCTTGATAATCATGGTTATGTAGATCCGCCACCGTGCCTCTGGGCACGGAGTGGGCGTGCCCTCAGGTCCTTGCCATCATCCTCTCAACCTCAGTCATCACGCCTGAGGGGTCGTTGGGAGCCCCAAACCTCACATCGTGACATCTTCTCCTGGGACTTCTCGCGGTTTCTCGCGTGACCGTTTCGGAGCGATGGGGGCCCCCAAACGGGCCCAACAGGGCCCAAAGAGGCCCACGACGGCCCAGAACGCCCCGAGACGCCCAAAGATCGCTCCAAGACGCCCTGAATGGCCTCAAGATGGCCCAAGAGGCATCCAAAATGCCCCAAGAGGCCTCGAAGATGCCTCCCAAGAGGACCAAGAGAGGCACAAATCATTGATTTGCATGCGTTGTTTTAAAGATTTTTGGCGTTCTCGCCGCGTTTCCTTCCCGACGCTCTCTGACGGCCCTCGAGGCTCCCGATACCACCCCAGGACTGCCCAAGAGGCCTCCAAGAGGGCCCCAAAGCGGCCCTCGAGGGCCCAGGAGGCGCCCAAGACGGCCCAAGAGGACCCCAAGACGGCCCCAACAGTGGCCCGAGAGAGGGAACACTTACCGAAAATCCGAGCGTTCCGCCCCAAGAGGCCCCCAGGACGCCCCAAGAGGCACTCAAGAGGCACTCACGAGGCGCCTTAGGGACCCAACAGCGACCCCAAGAGGCCCCAAAACTGCTCCCAGGAGGCCTCAAAACTACATCCAAGAGGCCCCCTCAAGGTCACCCTCGAAATCCCACCGAACATCCAATGGGCTTCACACCCACAACCCAGGCACAGTGGCGGGATGGGCTGAAGGCCATTCGATAGAGAGGAGTCCAAGGTGCAACAGAGAATCAAGAGTCCAGGGAGCGAGGCTCAAGCCTGGATGTCTCACCTGGACACTTCCTACCGTGTTCGGAAAGGCAGCCCGACAACAAACGAATCAAACATACGTCGCTCCATTGGGGTCGGCGGCAGAGGCGGCAGCCCTTCGATTTTCTTCCACAACGAGAAGAAGTGGGGGTGAAACGTGAGAGCAAGTGACAATTTCGCCCCACTTTTTTCCGTGGGCCGGCACGAGATCCTGGGTTCCGAGCCTCCAGCTCTTCAGTCGGCATCGATAGGTCACCGCGGGAGAAATCTTTTCTCCCTGGCGGCATCCCAGAGATCATCATTCGCGTCTTTATTGCGCGCCGCTGGTCCACCACAAGCGCACATCGGAGGATACGGGCCTCGCATCGACCGAGCACTGAGCCACAAGGACTTTGACTCGTGGCAGCTGAAAAACCTGCTCATGGCAAACATGTGCACGAATATCAGGCAGCAGCTCTTGCACTACCACTTCTTCGAAGTCCGCCGACCCCCGTTTGTGGGCTGTCCCCAACCCTTTTTCCTCCTCCCCAGGGGCCCAAAATGCCGTTTGAGGGGAGGGGGGCACGAGCTCGTCAACGCCCCCCTGGGGCCTCCTGAGCCTCCAAAAAGTCCCAAGAGGGCACAGACAGAGCGCCAAACAGTCGAAGAGACCATCAAGAAGGCCCAGAGTAGCCGCACGACGACCCCAGATGACTTCAAGACGGCCCGCCGGGCCCCCAAGACGTCCCAAAAGTGTTCCAAGGGGACCACCGAGAAGGCCCCGAGAGGTAAAATCCGTTTCATTCCCTCAGGGAAACGTACATGGTTAGCACATTCGCACACTCGCCGTTTTCATCTTGACAGCGTCCAAAACTGCCCGAAGGACTCCCAAGATCGCCGTAACACGGCCGATGAGGCCCACCAAGAGGGCCCCAAGACGGCCCCAGGGGCCCCCAAGACGGCCCAAGAGAGCCCCAAGAGGGCAAGAGAACCCAAGAGGCGGAATGCAAGCTGATATTTCGAGCCTTTCCCCCAAAGATTGTCAAAAAGCCCCCCGGAGGCCCCCGAGGCGCTCCCAAGACGCCCCCAAAGGCCCCCAAAGAGGCACCCAAGAGGACCCACAAAGGCTCCCAAATGCACCCAGGAGCCCTCCAAAATGCCCCTGAGAGGCGTCCAAAGAGACTCCCAGATTCATCCAAGAGGCTCCTGACCCACAAACCAAGCACTTTGGCGGGCTGCGCCGAATGCCACGAGATCCGCCGCCCCTGTTGATCTATCACAGGGGTGCCTGGCGTGCTGAATCCTATACGACTTGGTTTTGTGTTTCTCCTAAAAAGCATTCTCCGCTGAACTTCCAGACCAAGACACACGCATATAACGCCAAAATCAAATCTCTAACGCAACGCATGTTCACATCATGGGTGGTGTCATTGTCGGTAAATTGTTGGGCTGGCGTGTCCGCCAGTTTGCGAACGGGTATAGGGTCGTCATAGTCTGTTGCGTGTGGCCACGCGGTGGGGAGATGGAGGAATAGGATCGTAAGTTACAAGATGGTTGAATGATCGTGGTATAGTGGCTGGTAGCCCGCGCAATTGGAGTAAGTCCCACTGTACCGTGGTATGTCGCTATGTACAAAACACAGGATGTAAGAGGCAGCCACATCAAGATGATGCGAGCTCCGCCACCGAGTGGACAGCGATTGCCAGGAGGGTGTAAGCCGAGACCCTGCATCTTATGATAACGTCGTGGACGTATCATGGTATCTAATAGCTTATCTCATACCGAAGACTGGGTCGGTAGGTACTGTAAGAGGTAAGGCAATGGATGAGAGGGCGCACCATCGAAGGATGTGGACGTCTCCTTTTCCGCTACTCTGGTGCAATTGTACCTCACAGGCGTGAGGTAGTCAGATAGAACGGCGCCGCTTGAGCCAAGCGGCGTCGGACGTAGGCACGGTGCTCGCCATGCTCACCGTTGCGGTTTGACCTTCGCCTAAAGTCCCAAGACGGTCCCCAAAGGGCCCCTCAAAACGGCCCAAAAGGCATCCCCTGCGCCCAAAAAAGCCTCCAACACGACCCTGAGGCGCCCTGGGAGGGCCCCAAGACGGCCCAGAGAGGCTCCCAAGACGGTTTCCGACGGCGTCAAGCGGGCCAGTTACGCCGTAAGACAGCCAAAGAGACCCCAAAGAAGCCCCCATAGGCCCGCTAAGAGGCTCCCCGAAGAGGCCTCCACACGTCCCCCCTGTGGTGGCAAGAGGCCCCGAGAATGACCCAAAAAGCTCCCAAGAGGTCTCCTCATCCTCTTTATCCTCCTTCTTCCTCCCTCTCATCATCCTCCTCTTCCCCCCCACGTGTTCCCCGAAGGGCTTCCAAAACGGCTGGGGAACGCATGGTCCAATAGTACGGCCAAACTTTGCCCGAACGTTTGACCACATAGGCGTGCCCTAAAGGCAGGGGGCGGCAGTGATTCGCCGTGGGCGTCTGTAATAATTGCCACGATCGTCGCAGGCTCTGACTCCTTCTAGGGGTCGGCGGAATAGTGTAAGCCACTTGAATATTTGCAGAGCGCGTCTCCCAAGAACTCAGTACCCGAACGCCTCTACCGTCTTCTCGAAGCACTTCACGTAATCACCCACCTTCATCATGGGGTGATATGCTGCGGTCTTCTTCTCGGTGCAGTCGGGCCTCCATTTCTTGTTATTTTTCTGGTCCTCTGGGCGATCCGCCTCGCAGGCCGCGTCCAGAACAGTGTCGAATGCCCCGCCGCGGCGCACTCCCATGGCGTCCAAGCAGCTCTGAGCGAAAAGGTCCTCCCCCATCGGCCCGTACTTGCCGCCCTCCACTCCCGTCTTCCAATCCAGGACCTGCTTGCACCATTCGATGTTCGGAAACAGCGTCTGGGCGGCAGTCACCGACATGATCTCCAAGTTCCCGAACCAACCCCACTTAACGTATTTGCAGTTCTCGAGGTAGATGCCAGGCACACCGCTCCCAGGCTCGCCCTGGGAGGCAAGGAAGGGCCTCAAGCGGCTCGGCAAGAACACCGCATCGCAATCTACCTTGACCACCCAACTGGCGTGCTGGTAGTCTCCCGCCGCCCTGATCGCCTTCCAAACCTGTGTGTGCAATCCTGTGTTGATCCAGGTGCCGGTCTCCTTGCGCTTGAGAATGTGGAAGTCCCCATCGGCGTCGTCCACCGCCACGAAGGGCACGCCGGGCTTCAGGTCGCCTAGCTTGTCGCTGAAGATGCCCCACTGCTCGCACGCGAAGATGCCTATCTTCCTGTCGTACGCCGCCTTCAGCAAGTTCAACTCATCCGGGCGCTCGGTTTTGCCGTCGCTGCCAGTGTCTGCCATGTAAACGGAAAAGCAGTACATCGATGTTCCGGGTGCTACTGCGTTGTCCAAATACATCGGCTCGCTGGCCTTGGGCACAGGCACCGCGCAGGCCGTCGTCTCGCTAGGCGTGCAGTTCTTCATGCACCGGGCCGAGCCAGGCGTGGTCGTCACGAAGCAGGTGAAGCCGGCCACGTCGCAGCACGCCGTGTCGAAGCAGTCCTCGGACACGTCGCTGCATTTCTCCCGCGCTGGCTTTGCCAGCACCTGCAGCAAGCCGCGCCTGGGCGCGAGGCCGCCCCCGAGCGAGCCGGCGCCGCGACGAGCCGCGAAGCCGCCGCCGGCGCAGGCGGCACAGGCCAGCGCCGTGCAGCCGAGGACCCTGCCAGTGCTCCAGCCAGAGGCCGGCGCGGCCGCGTCGCTGTCGCTGCTGAGCTGCATGAACCCGCTGCGGCGGTGCGGCGCCATCTGGGCGAGACGGTGATCAGAGGAGGGCGAGTCGAGGCAACGGCGGTGGGCCTTCGGGGGGCAGCCTCGTCGCCACAGGCTGGGCGCGGCTCGGAAAGCTGGTGGCTTGGGCCCCAGGAAAGGTTTCAAGGACCGGTGTTGGGCTGCTGTTGTCTCAACTCGCCCTGCTCCGAGATGAGGTGCGAGCTCTGGTCTGCAGCGGAAGCAAGCAGCCGTGCGCCGAGGAGCCGCGATCACTCGAGCCACAGGATGGTTGAGCCAAAAAGGCTGCGGGGGGTGGCAGTTCCGCGCGGCTGGACAATATGCTCAGGTGGAATGGCAGGTGTCGCATGGCGTGGGCAAGAGCTTTGGACAGACGTCCACGTCTGAAACGGTCCGCTCCAAAGGAGCGCATGCACACCAGAGGAAAACGCGGCAGGAGCGACGCTGGGAGAGAGGACAGGCAAGGCAGTCCAAGATGAAACCGCTGACCCGATGTCCCCAGCATCGGTTGTCTGCTCGGACATGCCCGTTTTGTTTGGATTAGTTTCTCGCTTCGCCGCAACGTCTGAGGCCCCCTCCTGCTACTCACCCGACCCTCCTCTTGGCCCCATGCCCCTCTGACCTCTTCTGCCCGCATCATTCCCTCCCCCCTTGGGTCGGGCGAAACTGGAGCAAAGGGCGGGTTAGTGAGTCAGCTTACGCAGCTGATTCTCCTGGTGCATGTAGCAAATGTCCTCCCCCCCTCCCTTGCCCGGCCCTGCCCCCCCATTCGTCCGTCCGACTGGAAAACCTCCTCTTGCCTCCATGCCCCTCCCCAACCCCCGACGCCGTGACTTTTTCACACCGTAGACCCCAAGAGGTCTGGACCCCCTCACTGGGGCCGATTTTTCACCCCAGGGCGTTTTTCCCCAATTACCCAATTAGGCTTGCCTAAGGGGTTCTTACTTGGTCAAGGGTTGGTGACTCGGGGGGGGGGGGGCTACTTTGCCCGTGTCCCGGATGTTCCTCGGGTTCCTTGGGTTCCTCGGGCTCTTCGGATTCCTCGGGTTCCTCGGGTTCCGTTCCTCGGGTTCCTCGGGTTTCTCGGGTATTGCACTTGTGCAGTGCTTGGCATTGCTTGGCATTGCTTGGCATAGCTTGGCATTGCTTGGCATTGCTTGGCATTGCTTGGCATTGCTTGGCATTGCTTGGCAGTGCTTGGCATTGCTTGGCATTGCTTCGGGGAACTCGGGAAACCCAAGGAACCCGGGTAACCCAAAGAACCCGAGGAACCCGGGGAACCCGGGGAACACGAGGAACCCGAGGAACCCGAGGAACCCGAGTAACGGAACCCGAGGAACCCGAAGAGCCCGAGGAACCCAAGGAACCCGAGGAACCTCCAGGACACGGGCAAAGTAGTCCCCCCGAGTCACCAACCCTTAACCAAGTAAGAATCCCTTAGGCAAGCCTAATTGGGGAAAAACGTCCTGGCGTGAAAAACTGGACCCAGTGAGGGGGTCCAGACCTCTGGGGGCCTAAGTTGTGAAAAAGTCACGACGTTGGGGTTTAGGGAGGGCATGGAGCCAGGAGGAGGTTTTCCGGTCGGACGGACGAATGCGGGGGCAGGG